GGATCCAAAACTTTATTTTTGTCTGATTTTCTGGTTGCTCCAAAGGCCGCAATTATTGCCCAAACATTGCGAATTTTTACATGGAGAACGGGGATCAGGCCAAAGAATAAGCATGCCTGTTTTGATAAAGATCGGTCAATATTTATCGGGTCAAATGGACCCTGACTTTTGTGTGAAAAATTGCAAAATTTGTATTCTATGACGTATATATTTGCCCCTAAAGGACATAGACCCGAGAAGTTGGTAGTATGTTCAAGAGGAGTGGTTGATCTTCAAATTGATACCAAATATATGGTTGTATGTCCTTAGATATGGGAGTTACACTTAGATATTTACAGGTGCTTACGTATTCAGACATTATTTAGTAACCCATTACCACACTAGACGGCGGAAATATAGCGCTGATCGCTTTGAAATTTTCCATGAGATTCCAATTATGGTCAAGGACAATGCCTATAATTTTCGGTGATGATCAGATAATAATTTTGGGATGAAGTGGTCCGAAAACTTTTTTTTGAGTCTATCTATAGGCCGCAGATGAAAGCCCAACATCACAACATAACGTACGGTAAAGAGAATCTGGACAAGTTCAGCCCTCGTCTACTGAATATTAGTAATATTTGTTGATCTTTAGTCGTTGTTGTTGTAGCAGCCCTATTGCTTTTACACAATGGGCTGAGATGACAGACGTTGGCCGAGTAAGACTCGGGTCGTTTCGGATCGTAGACCCCTCTGTCGTGGAAACGATCTTTAGTCGTGTGTGAAGAGGGTGCAAATAACGCAAAGTTAGATTGTCATGGAAGTTGTGTAGGGTATCATATGGTCGGACCCGTCCGATTATACTGCTCCGCTCACTGTTTTTTTTTGTGAATGAAACACCAAACTCCCAATATTTGTCCGATTGAGACAAAATTTTGCCCAGAGTCAGAATTAGGTTCAGATTGATGTCTGCGAAGTTTTGTTATAATCGGTTCAGATTTAGATATAACTCCCATAAACCGGTTCGTCCGATTTTTGGTGAATGATACACCAAACTCCCAATATTTGTCCGATTGAGACAAAATTTTGCTCAAAGTACTGAAATAGGTTCAGATTGGTGTCTGTCTGATGTTCGTCCGATTTTTTGTGAATGATTGATGTCTGCAATGTTTTGTTATAATCGGTTCAAATTTAGATATGGCTTCCATATATTGGTGAATGATGCACCAAACTCCCAATATTTTTTCGATTGAGACACAATTTTGCCCAGAGTACTAAATTAGGTTCAGATTGATGTCTGCGAAGTTTTGTTAAAATCGGTTCAGATTTAGATATAGCTCCCATATATAAATTCGTCCAATTTTTTGTGAATGATACACCAAACTCCCAATATTTCTCCGATTGCATAGCGAATGCAATTGAGGAAAAATGATGTGTGATATGGTTCATTGAAATCGGTTCAGATTTTGATATAGGTCTTATGTATATTTTCGTTCGATTTTAAGTAAATATTCTTTAAAAACTCCACGATTGTTATGGTATTCAAAAAATATTCTTTAAAAAAACCCAGGCCTTTGTGAGATAATCCATTTAATCTCATCACCCCGTAAAACACCTCCTATATTATTATGTATGTGTAAATAGTATGTTTACATACAGACCAATCATCCGGTTGAATGATCACCTAATTTTGCTATTTTTCTCAATAGTTGTGTGTTTTATTTTATGGTACAATTAGTTTTTTGATTTGGCCAAAAAGTAAAACTCCAAATAAAAGGCAACTGCAAAAGAAACCTCTCAATTCGGTTTTAATTTGCCTTGACTTTTAAAATGTGTGTTACAGTTAATGGGCCAGCAATGAAGCCCAAAAACCTAAACAACACAAGGCAAGGTCGTTCTAGTCCACATCTCGAAATAAATTCACATCATTCACAAATTTACTCTCTCAGGAAAAATTCTCACAATTATCTTGGGCGATGAATGGGAAATTGCGTGCCAGAGGTTTATTGACCGGTGAATTAAAAACAAACAAAAAATGGAATGAAGAACTAAAAACCCAAATCATAATGGGTACTAATATCGCCACCAACAAAAGCGTTGAGTTGTTTTTCCATACAAATATTTTTATTTTGTTTTTTTTTCTAATTTATCCATAGAGGAAATTTGTTGTCTGCATTGTTGAACACACAAAGCGTGTGTCTTCGCCACAATCTTGGAAATTTGGTGTGCGGATATGAGCAGCTCGTTTTAATTTCGGAAGTTGTTTGTAAAATCAAATTTATGCCACAGAACTATTTTGAACAATGCGATAATTCTTTTGTGGGTTGTTTCTAACCTTCAAAGTAGATCAAATAAGACCATCAACTCCATTGCCTTTGTTTTATGGTTGGTCGGTAAATTCCAAAGAATTAAATTTGATATGCCGAATTGTGGTAACAGAAGCGTGAGGATTTTAATTTAGTCAAAGAAGTGTGCGAATTATTGTTATTTTGGGGGTATTTGTATGTAATAACACAATGGAGTGTTCTTTAAGAAAATCCACGTCCAAAGGCCCTTGAAAAAATGCTCTTAAATAATCCAGACCAATATTGGTACGTAGACATAAAATGTTAATAAAAATTATTTAAGAAACAGTAAGCGGAGCAGTATAGTCGGACGGGGCCGACCATACGATACCCTACACAACTACCACGGAACTCTAACTTTCTGCGGATTTTTTTCCGAGCCTGGGCAAAATATTCAGTAAAGCCCTTCTGATTGCTGGTCATCGACTGGAAAAAAACAAAAAAAATAAGTTTTCGGCCCACTTCATCCAATATTATTATCTGATCATCATAGAAAATTATAGGCGTTGCCCTTGACCATAACTGGAACCTCTTGGAAAATTTTAAAGCGACCAGCGGTATATTTCTGTCCCATAATTTTAATGAATTGCTAAATAATATCTGAACTCCCACGTCCGAGTACATTCGACAATATTATTTGTATCAATTTAAAGGTCACCAATCCTCTTGGATTTACTATCAACTATCTCGGGTCTTTGTCCTTCAGGAGTAAATATACATATATGCCATAGAATACAAATTTTGTCATTTTTCACACAAAAGTCGGGTTTATTTGACCCGCTAAATATTGATCGATCTTTATCAAAGCAGGCATGCTTATTCTTTGTCTCGACCCCGTTCGCCATGTAAAAATTCGCGATGTTTGAGCTATAATTGCAGCCTCTGGAGCGACCAGAAAAACGGACAAAAATTAAGTATGTGGTCCATTTCGCCCCCTAAATATTAACCGATCTTTACCAAAAACAATAGGGGTCTTCATTGGCTAGAACCCATCCTACATGCAAAATTTCGTGAAGATTGGTCCATAACTGTGGCCTGTATCGTGTTTACAAATTATAATGGACAGACGGACGGACAAACATGTCTAGATCAACTCAGCTAGTCGAGATATGACGATCGGTATACTTAAAAGTGGGTCTAGAACCAATATTTCGCGGCGTTACAAACTTTTGGGGCTGCACAAAGCTATAATACTCTGACAACATAGTTGTGTAGGGTATAAAAATCTCCGCCTCTCTGGAAAAATATTATTTAAAAATCCAAGCATATTAGAGATTAAAAATCCACGCCTTATTTTGGTCCCTGAAAAAAATATTCTTTAAAAAAATGACGCCTTATTTTGGCCCCTGAATAAAAAAAAAATATTTTTAAAAACTTCCAACCTTTTTGGTCCTTGAAAAATATTATTTAACCAGTATGCGGAGCAGTATAGTCGGACGGGGCCGACCATACGATACCCTACACTACTATTATGGAACTCTAACATTCTTCGAAGTTTTATTCCGAGCCTGAGCAATAGTTCATTAGAGTTGCACCCTCTTTCTCGATAAGAGGCAAACAGCACATCAGTATATTCCTTCTAACTACTTGTCTATATTCCCTTCACCGTGGGTTGTGTTGTAATGTTCGACTTATAATTGTCGCCTATAGATCGTCTAGAAAAAAAAAAAAACACAAAAAAATTATGTGTTTGGTCCACTTCATCCGAAAATTATTATCTGAACATCGTCGAAAATTATAGGCGTTGTCCTTGACCCTAACTGGAACCTCTTGGAAAATTTTAAAGCGATCAGCGGTATATTTCTGTCCCATAATGTTAATGAGTTACTAAATACTATCTAAATAGGTAAGCACCTGTAAATATTTACGTGTAACTCCCACGTCCGAGTACATACGACAATATAATTGGTATCGATTTAAAGGTCAACCAATCCTCTTGGATATACTATTCTCGGGTCTATGTCCTTCAGGAGTAATTATATACGTCATAGAATACAAATTTTGTCATTTTTCACACAAAAGTCGGGTTCATTTGACCCGCTAAATATTGATCGATCTTTATTAAAACAGACATGCATATTCTTTGGCCCGATCCCCTTATCCATGTAAAATTTCATAAAATTTCGCGATATTCGGGCCCTAATTGCGGCCTCTGGAGCGACCAGAAAAACGGACAAAAATTAAGTATTTGGTCCATTTCATCCCCAAAATATTGATCGATCAAATAATAGGAGTCTTCATTGGCCAGAACCCATCCTTCATGCAAAACTTCGTGAAGATTGGTCCATAACTGTGGCCCGTATCCTGTTTACAAATTATAATGGACAGACGGAAGGACACACATGTCTAGATCGACTCAGCTAGTCGAGATATGACGATCGGTATACTTAAAAGTGGGTCTTGGACCAATATTTTGCAGCGTTACAAACTCTTGGGGCTGCACAAAGCTATAATACCCTGACAACATAGTTGTGTAGGGTATAAAAATCCACGCCTTATTGTAGTCCCTGAAAATTTTTCTTTTAAAAATTCAAGACTTATTTTGGTCCTTGAAAAAAAAAAATATTTTTTAAAAAATTTCATTAAAAATCCACGTTTTTTCTTCATTGCAAAAACCATCTATAAAAATCCCCGCCTATTTTTTCGATGTTTTTAAAAAAACACAATTTTTTTCAGGTTATGGCCACATTTCACCACGAACCGATTGGGGTAAAGTGACCACAATATTTTACGCCATTGTCGGTATACCATTGATGCTGCTTTGTCTCTCGAATATTGGTGATGTCATGGCCTCATCGTTTCGGTATGTTTTGAAATTAAAATCCTCATCTTCATGGAAATATTTTCAAAATCTCCATTTCTTCTTGCAGCTTCATTTATTGGCGTGTTTGTTGTTACATTTGCACCCGTAATTCGAAGAAAAATCGTCGGGCACGTCAGCGGTCGATACGTGCACCACGCTATACATCCCGATCTCAACCACCACCATCATTTCGCAGATCAATGCGAATGTCACAGCGACCGCCACAGAGTGGTTTGCAGCATGCCTATTCAGATCCTGAACTAAGGACAGTGGGTCGTAATGGATATGAACGTGATTTCGATTATGATCGATATCCAGATCGTCGCACTGGCGGAGGTAGTGATCGTCGTCGTGATCCACATAGGATGACTGCACCACCTCAACGACATCCCTATGATGATGAACAAATGTTCAATGAAAGCCCGCCATACACTCAGACCCTTAATCGACCAGGGCGTTTTAGTAGCCGTCAAAGTCGTCGTGATCGCATGCGGGATCGGCACACTGTCGAGCGGGAAAGACATTTGAGTCGATCAAAACAACATTTTGATTCGGTGGAAGATTTTGAAGATCTACCACCTGCAACAAAACGGGCAATGAGTGTTCGTTCCATGAGATCACCACAATTGCGACGTGATGAAATCTCCCGAGAATCAAGGGAATCAAAAGAACTTAATCGCCTGAACTCCCACCAGGCAATGGTGCGCGGCAAATCAATGCCGCACTCAAGTGCCAGGGCCAGAGCGAAGTCCGTCGATCCTCGTCTATCGGCAGCCCACTACGAAGATGTCGATGAGGAAGTGGTACGTAAAACACCCATCATTTCCAATCGTTATGCCATCACAGAAATGGAACATCGTGAATCGCGTAATAAAAATTACATGCGCAGTCAATCAATGCCGCGTTCAGCCTTCCATAAGAATAATTTAAATCCGCACCCACAATCACCAACACATCGTTCGTCGTCTAGACATTTTAATGACGACACGGCAAATCACATAAATGCTGGCGCTTCGAATCGCCGCTCTATGCCAAATCCAACAGGACGTCGTGGTAGCTTGGGTCGACAAACGTCACTTGGTCCCCTGCCAAGTAATGGCAACTCGAGGTATGGCAATCATTTGGAATTGCCAGAGTACACGTCACCGCATCGAACAAAACGTGGTGTATCACCGCGTCGACATGAAATCTACGATGAAGAATATGAAGATCAATATCTTGAAGATCCGGATGAATATATGCGTCTACAGCATATGGAGAGAAGAGATCGTGGTGATAGAAATTATGATGATATCGAATATCACCGATCATCGATGCGAAAAGAAAGACGGCAGCGTAAAGAAAAACAAGGTAAGTGGAAAAAAACAATATTGAAAAATTAGTTGTGTTGACGGGTGGTTTTTGGATACCATTTGTATTTTATTTTTACAAAATAGAAGCAATAAATAGCTTCTGGGAATATCCCAACAAAAAAATAAGGGTACTGATCCTGGCTTACCCCTCGGCGGAAAATGCCATACATTCCCCACTAATAAATAGTGTTTTTTTATAAAAACAACAAAATGGGATTCAGCCTGGCTATTTTGCAGGCTGAATCCTGCTGAATATTTAAAAAAATGATTTAGTCATTTTAAAAAATATTTAAAAAAATCTTTCTTATTTTCCTAGAAAGAATAATCTTTTAAAAATCAGATTTTTGGTTCTAGCAAAAATATATATTTTAGAAATCAAGGTTCTTAAAAAAATATTCTTTAAAATGTAGATTTTTGTTCATTAAAAAATATTCGTCAAAAATTTAGTTTTTAAAAATCCAGATTTTCGGATTTGGGTTCTTTAAAAAATGCATGAATGTGTGAGCCAGTGGAAAGCTAACCTTGATTTCTAAAAAAATCTACACCTGCATTGGTCCACCCATATTGTTCCTTAAGAATATTTTCAAAGATTCAGTTCTACTGATAAAACTTCAGGATGATATATTTCTATTTGTTCTCTTTTTTATTTCAGAACGTTTACCACCCTCACCGCGTATTATGTCACCCATGGGATTTGCTGTCAAAAGACAAGTTCGAAGGCGACCCAGTTATGATTACGATGACGATTCCATGTACGGCGATGACTTGAGTGATTATTATGGTGATATACCACCCAAAGACCGTCCCGTGCCAATATGGTTGTGTGTTTTTCTAGTCATTAGTTATATATTGGGCGGGGCAGCCTTGTTTGCATTCTGGGAGAAATGGTCATTTTTGGATTCGGCCTATTTTTGTTTTATAACACTGACAACAATTGGTGAGACCGTTGGTGATTGAAAATAATTTTCCATAGTAATTTTTAAAAAAATATTTTTAGGGTTTGGCGATTTTGTTCCAGCCAAAGGTGTTAAAGATGAATCCGAACAATCCATTGCCTATTGTTCGTTGTATTTACTATTCGGCATAGCTTTGTTGGCCATGAGTTTTAATTTGGTCCAGGAAGAATTCATTGCCAATGTTAAAGAGGTGGCGCGACGATTGGGTATTTTAAAAGATGAGGACGATGAGGATGATTAATGATGACCGAGCAAAAAATCGAATGCATTTTTCATTTAATTTTTAAAAAATGTATTTTTATGTTTTTATTTAAAACTAGTTATTTACACATACAAAGGAAGAATAAAAAAATATATAAACGAAACACAAATATAAATGAAAGAAAAGGAACGAACACATTACAATCATTTAAAATCGAGAAAATAATTAAAAAAGAAAACTTGTATGCTATATCTTTCAATATATACAAGCCAATTAGAATTTTGAATTTAAACACGAATAATTAAAACATATTATTAGGAATAATTAGGTAGTATATTCTTATAAACAACAATGAATATTGGATTGGGATGAAATAAAAATTAAGTGGCTATATTTTCCTTATTTTGCTGAAATGACAAAAGAGAAATAATTTATAAGTGATTTATAATTATTGATTTATTGTACACACCTTTAGATATGCTGGTGAATTGGTTCTAGAAGAACCTTTACGTGGTGATATACTGCCGGCCGGTGATCCTGAACGGCTTTTCTGTGGTGGTACCTTCAATAAATTGGAATTACGATCGGATTTTCTTTGTGTAATATACGAATTTCGATTGGGTGGCACGACTTCTGTTTCAACAGGAGTTGAATTTAAAATTGTCTCAGTATCCGATATAGAATTATCAATATCAGTTTCACTTTCCTAAATTATAAAATAAATAAAAAAATAATAAAATTTTCAAAATTAAAAATTTTCCACAAATAAAAAACATTACATATATATTTTATTGACTCCAATTAATTTTATTGATAGGTATATTCAATTCAAACAACTTTAGTTTTCCAATAGTCAGTTTAATTATTGGTAGTGTACATACCTCATCCAATGGTATTGTCATATCAACATCCGACCAATCATTTTCCTGACGAAAACGTTTAACGATATTTGTGTGCGGCGATGTTGCGGCCAAAACTCGTGGATATTTAAATTCCTTTTTGGACGGTGTCGCACCTGTGGCTGTGTATGTTTTAACTTCATTTTTACGGAATGTCTCAACATCTTGGCTACACGTTTGTATTTGTTCTTTATATACTTTTGTATAATCCTTCAACTTTTGCTGTAGCGAACAATTGTAGCCCTTGACAATGGATACATTTTCCATTGTCTGTTTGACATGAGTTTGCAATGAATTGAGAATGATATCCGTTTTGACGTTATGTTGCTCCCTATTTTGTGAACAAATTCGTTTAACCTGTGGACCGTAGTCCTTGAGAGCTTCTGTAGTTTCGGCATAATTTTGTGCGACAGCTTCAATTTGGGTATCCAATGATTTCGTGGTATCTTGTACTTTATTATCCAATTGTATTGCGAGTGTGGAACATTTGGCAACATTTTGATCGATGTGCAGTTCAATTTCATCTTTTAGTTTATCAACCAGCTGACAATTATTTTCCAACGTCTTGGCTTTCTTTTCAAGAAAGGCCTGTTGGAATTTGGTTGAGCCTTCCAATTGAGTTGTAACAAATTGTTGGGCCTTTTCCAAGGTGCCAACATTAGTGTCGATATTATTTGAACATATTGTGTGTTTTTTGTGAAATTCTGTCATTTTCTGTTGGAATTCTTCCAATAGCTTTTGTTCCCCCTCAATAAGAGCTCTTTGTTCAGCCAAGGTGGACGAGATTTTCTGTAGTTCTAGAGTATTTTCCAGAGTTTTTTGTTTAATTGCATCCATTTCGGTTTGTATACGTTTTGTGTGTTGCTGCAATTTTGTATTGCTTTCATGTAGTTTAGCTTTTATAGAATCACTCATTGTACTCAGAGCTATTTGTTGTTGTTCATTGGTGTATTCAATGGCTTCCAGATTTTCTTTAATTTGCATTTTAAATGTTTGCTCTTTTTCTTTCAATTCTTTCAGGAATTTAGTGATGGATTCATATTGTGCTTGTCCCAAATCTGTTAACGACGAAGATACGGTTTCGGTAATGCTAACCATTGATGTTTCGTAGGTGTCCAATATTTGATGAATGTTTTTAATTTGTTCACTGGTTGTGTCAACTAGTTTCGTTTGAAGATTTGATGTTTTGGCTAGAATTATAAAATAAAACTTGTTAGTATATGTTGTAGACGTATTTTTTTATAGTAACTCACTTAATTCAACATCCATGCATTTTGTGAGACTGCTTTGTTTCTCTTCATACTGTTTTAGGCTCTCATCCATGTGATCAAAGTTTTCATTCATGCGTTCAGCAAAACGTTCGCAAGCTGTTTGTATTTTTACATCAACATCTTTGCGTCTGTCAATGGTTTCCTAGAAAAATATATAAAATCAGATATTGATCCAATGAAATTGCAAAGAATATAATCATCTACTTACATGCAATGCTTCCGTATCCTTTGTGGCAATATCAGCCACTTCCAATATCTGGGTGGCCTGATCTTTCAATACCTCCTCGGTCTTGGCATGCGATTCAAGCAGTACTTTCTTTTCCTTGTAACGCCGCTTGGTGGTCTTCAGCACCTTCTTTGTTTCTATTAATTCGCCTTTGGTGGATTTCAAGCGATGATCCTTTTGCTGCAGTTCAGTCGTCTTTTCAATTAAATTCATACTAACTTCATTGAATATTTTCTCCTTGGATGCCAGCTCTTCTTTAAGAGCCTTCAGCAAATGTACTTTTTCATTTAGCTCTCTAGTTTGTGAATCCATTTTTAGGGTCATTTCATTGTAGGTCTCTGTGGCTAAATAAACACCATTTTTGTCCCGAGCTGCCATAAGATCTCTTTTCAGTTTATCAATTTCTTCGGTGTATTCTTTGAGTACGGTTTTCTTGGTAAGTTTTTGATTAACTTCCGGTTTGTTTTGTATATTTTTAGCACGATGGGCATACTCAAGGGTACTGAGAGTTTCTTCGATATCTTTGTGACCGGGAGATATGGTGGCAATAATAGATGTTTTTGTGCGACCACCTGGAAATATATAAAAAATGTTTTAAATTAATTAAAGATTTTGAATAAAGAATGTGGATAGTTTTCAAAAAAAATATTTTTGGTAATTCAAAATATGGAGTATATTTTAGTAGGATTTTAGGGAAGATATATCTCTCAAGATAGGGAAGATATATCCCATCTTCGAAATTTACATAATCTTCCTAATCAAGGTAGAAGGAAGTATGTCATCTACTTAGCTATATTTTTGAAACAATCCCATTAATTATAAGAAAAATAAAAATTAATATACCTACCCAGTGATTCTTGCAGCAAACGGGTCAATTTCGATTCACGATATGGTATATGTGGTGTCCGTTCTACCAAAGCCGTAATAACACGACCCAATGTCAACAGCGATTGATTAATATTAACAGTTTCTCGAACACGAACTCCTTTTTCATTGCCGGCTTTTGAAACATTTTCACTGCCAGCCAAATCGACCAAATTTAATTTTCCAATTTTTAACATTTCTTCACCATCCATGCCATTCTCTTTAATGTGGACGACGATGGAGAATACAGTGTGAGAACGTGAAGATTGAGCATTCATCAGGGTGGATGCAGTACGACGACGTTCTTTGCCCTTTTCCAATAGTTTATAAACATCATCTTTACTATGTACGGGTATTTCTTCAAGACCTTGTATGATGACGGAACCTTTTTTTGTACTATCATCAAAGATTCGAATCTTTGTGGAATCATCTGTGGACAGTAGATCGAATAGTTCTTCATTGTACAGTTCCAAGTAGGATATACGCATAGAGAATTCCAATTCCATCATACGCAGCTCATCGAAGAGATGACATAATGCACGAGGGATAATACCAATATCAGAATCCTTAAAACGACATCGAAATTGAGAGAACAAATTAATTCAAATGTGACTCATCTTTTTTCTAAGATTTTGAAATATCCTAATGTATAAGCGAGCATTGATTGCAACAACAACAAAATACTGGTCAAACAAGTTTTTTGTTCTGATTCGGCGGCTCAAAAGTCACTAATTATGAGACCCAAAAAAAAAAAAAAAACATTCTTTGCCTGCTATTTTTGTTGTTGCAATTTTCAAAATCAAATCTGTATTCGACATACTGTACTACTTACATCTTCCCAAGACGATTTCAGCTCAGCACATTCATTGCCCACCATTGTGTGTGTTTTGCCTGTACCCGTTTGGCCATAGGCAAACACGGTACAATTATAACCGGACAACACCTCCTCAATGAGAGGACCCACCACAGCGGCATAAACATCGACTTGTTTTGATTCGGGGCCAAAGGTTCGATCGAATGTAAATTTCTTTGTTAACTTGGAGTCCAAGGTATTGCGAGCTATAATTTCTTTGTGCGATATAACCTCAACAATTTCTGTGGAATGAATTCCTCGTTCACGTCGATTCAGGGGCCTAAGGATAACAACAACACAAATTGCATTAGTATTTGTTTGGCAAATTGGAAATAAAATCTGTGGGAAATATTTTTGTTGTCTATTATTTACCTTACGCGCACATAAACTTGTATGTGCTCATTGGTTTTACGCGGTGGCTGCGTCTGTGAATGGTTTTGTGCCGATGTATTCATATTGCCTTTTAGCTTCATTCAATTAGTTTTTATTTTGATTAACTGCTTTTGTTGTTAAAATTGTATTTCCTTTGGAATTATCTCTAAAATAAATCACAAAATGTCCACCGATTGTTTGGCGGCGCTTCTTTATTTTGGACGTTTTAAATTTAAATGACGCTCTGGGAAAGTGCTGCCAATACTTTGAATAAAATTTAAAAAGTAGTACCAAGTCGACGAAAACATCGTGTTGCCACTTGTAAGGAATCATATGATGGCACTTAAAACAGACAACTAACTTACTTTATCCAGTCACGTTTACATCGAACAGCGTCTTTAAAGGTATTTTTTTTTTGTAAATATATGACAACTGTCTTAAGTCTGCTTTTCCACAGGCAAATTTTTATTTGGCAAATACTGAGTTTGTATGCGAAAGGGGTGCGAGGAAGAAAAACAAAAATTTGCCTGTTCAGAATTTGCCGTACACGCAAATTCTGCTTTGCTCTGTTCGTTGAAAACAATTTTGTTGACATTTCCTTTTGAACCTATTCGCTTTACTGACACACAGCCGGCTTTTGTTTACAAACCTGTTGCTTTAATTTGTGCAAGTGAAATTTAATTTTTGCAATTTATATAATAAAATATATAAAAAATAAATAAAATATTAAAAAAAATCTTTAAAATACAAACACTTTTGACTTTTATTTTCTTTCTTTTGTATTTTGATTCGCAAATTTGGCAAAGAAAAATTTGCTAATGGAAAAGCAAGCGAAAATTTCAAAAGAGAAAACAAAAAATTTGCCAAATAAAAATCTGCCTGTGGAAAAGCAGACTAATGGTATTTTTACACCATATGTATTTTACATATGTGCTGTCACTTATTTCACCCATATGTAATTCCTTATGTGTGTCAAAATTAGCGGCGTACACAAAACATTATTATTTTGTGTTCAAATCGGCATATGTATTTTACATATATTTTTTCTTAAATCAACATCTTTTTTTATTAAACACCTACAAACGAAGTAATAATTTGTAATTGTTGCCTTTTCATCCTTTTCTTTGACTTGCAGTTGAAATATTTTCTTCCAACAATGTGTTTCATTCAAACAGCTGATTTCCTTATGTTTCACATACGAAAATGGAGCGCGTCCTATTCGGAAAAAAATACATATTTTGCATATCGTTTTGACACATTGAAATTTCCGTATGTTTCACATGACGAGTTCAATTTCCATATGCAAAAAAGTGACAGCACATATGTAAAATACATATAGTGTAAAAACACCATAAGGGATCCGCATAATTATCGTGTTACTCGTTCTTTGCATTTCGCTTCAATTCATGTCCAACGTCTTCTTGTGGTTGTTGCATTATCTATAACAAATGGCTCAACTTATTCATTCTGTTTATCCATTTCAAACTGATTTGGATATCCACTCTGCTTACCACATTCGGGGCTTATTTTAACACGTCTAAATAGAAGTTAATTACACTGTGCGAGACGAAAATTTTTCAGGGGTTCTAATGTACCAATTCTGTTTAGTTGTATTCCCTGGACCACAAAAATACCTTTAGTTTTTCTGGGTCATTTTATAATTTGTAATGTATGAGACCACGTTTTTCTCTACATTTACCGTTAATAAAACTAATTTTCGAAGTGACCCAGAAAAACCAAAGGTATTTTCGTGTTCCAGGAACTCCAACTAAACAGAATTGGTTCATTATAACCTGAATATTTTTTTTTTGTTTTGTAGCTAAGTGTTATCGGTCCTAAACACATTCATTAAATATTGTGTAATTTCGCCATGTGCCATGATATCAAGGCAGATTTAAAAAGGTAGTCACATCAGCAATTTCGAAGAGCTTGTTCAGAAATACACTATATCCAAAATAGCCGATAACTATTGCTTAGTACGGGACCTGTTTAATGCTCCTTGGATATATCGAGACATATTCGCCAAAAGAACGTAATAGTACGTTTACATTTAACCGGATTTCGTTAACCCAGTGGGTTTCAATTGCCAATTCCTTTGCATATATGTCAAATAAATCCTCATAAAGTAGGTTAACCCGGTAAAAAGTTGTAATGTAAATGCCTTTTAACCCTCAAATTTGAAATTTTACAGGAGAAGGTTGTTTTTAATAAATTCAGATTTAATAAAGCTTTTATTTTGAAATTTAGAACAATAGTTTAAAACAAAACTAGTTTATAACAAAACTAAAGTTTTAAATTTCAAAATAATAGCTTTATTACAGTACGTTTACATTTAACCGGATTTCGTTAACCCAGTGGGTTTCAATTGTCAATTCCTTTACATATATGTCAAATAAATCCTCATAAAGTAGGTTAACCCGTTAAAAAGTTCTAATGTATATGCCGTTTTAAATCTGAATTTATTAAAATTTCAAATTTGAGGGTTATGTTTTATTTGGCGAATATGGCTCGATATCATTGTACTACAATAGTTGTAATCAACTGCTTATACGGCTACCTTATTACATCTGTGGTGTATGCTTTGGTAGTACTGATATAAATGATGCCAAGTTTCACATAATAAGCAACAGTGTTATTAATCCACGGTGCATGCGTGCACGTTTTTTTCGGGATAAGAAGAAGATAAAAACAATTCGTCAACTGTGGGGGCTGCTGGCTGGAGGAAACTATCGGGAATTAAAAAAATACATTAAATTTACCACATTCACAATGGTAAATGCAAAAAGTACAAAAGTTGCCAATAATGGACCACAAAACAAATCTGCAGGAAATAAATTTAAGAGTAAAGGCAATGCAGGAGGTGTTACAAAGGCGCCATTTAAAGGTGGCGCATACAAGAAGCATGGAAAACCATCTTTTACAAAATCAAAGGAGGCCATAAAGAAGGTAAATAGTATTGGATTTCATAGAGTAATGCAATGTCATGGAATTATATATTCCAATGAACACACATATATAATATATAAAATCCACATTTAATTTTTATTTCAGGAACGGGCTGAAAAATTCCGTCAACGACAAGAAGCCCGAGAACAAAAACAAAAAGAGTTGGAGGAACAACGAGCCAAGGCCAAAGCTGAAAAGGAAGAGAAAATAAAACAATACAAAAAGAAACGTTTGGAACGTACAAAGGCACTGAGCAAGCGAACTCAACGTGGTCAACCCCTTATGAAGGATCGTATGCAATTGCTGTTGAAACAAATTCAAGAAATGAAAAAGAATGGCTGATTTACTTTTTTGGTTTAATTAAAAATATATTTTATAATAGCATAATAATTAAATATTTAGTAATAGATTTTGATTTTAACATTATTTCGTAAAAGTATAAAATATATTAAAATATTATGTAAATCGTGTTTAATTTTTGGGCGAAAATTGGAAACTCCCAAGTCTGTAAAAAAACTGAGCAACTGGTTGTATAATCTAATCCACTTTGGTACTGTGCTTGTAAAATAATTCTCAGCAATCCTTGGTAATTTATTCAATAAAAAAATTATATTTAAATTTCTCCAAAAATTTAAAATAGTTTACAGAACATTTTCACAAATTATCTTCGAAAAATTTTTACTAAATTCGCTAGAAGAAATCAATCAACTGGACAAGTGAATAAGAATGGCGCAAAATTTCCTGTACATGTTCGAATTTGTGGTCGATGATTTGCTGGTGACTCGACCAAATTATTGCGCTCCCGACGAGTATCCAACATGCTGTGAAGTATCATTTCGTAATAGTGTGTTCGTGTCAATATGTGATCGTGAATATGGTCACTGCGTCGATCCAAATGCATCGAAATGTGGCAAATGTTGCCTTTTCTCCTTGGAAAGTCCCATCCAAGATTCGGATCGTCTGATGCTGCACGTGTACAAAAAGAAAACGGATAAATGTAAATTCCTTATCGGGTGTACAGATATGCCTATTCGGGGTCTTTTCGATAAGGTTATGGAAAGTTTTGAAATTGAAAATCCAAATTGGGAGGATGGTTTAAAGAAGCACATACAAACTATGCCACAGGCGGGTGTGCCACCAAAATGTCCCGCCATTGTCGATAATGATTGCAACGAAGATAGTATGGGAAGAAAGGAACAATTGTGTCCCACATCGGAGTTGACAAAACGTCTCTTGCCGCTGTTCAATTTAAATGGTTGTCAAACGGGGAATATTGTTATGATTATACGGCTGGTGGCCAATGGACCGACAATTGTGTCTTCATTCCCCTTTGCGAAAATATGCAATGCGGGTTGTAATAAAACGTGTAATAGTGAAACGGAAACTACGGTACGTTGCGGTGGAGGTGCCAATGAGAGTAGTAGTTTCCCGGATACTTCTCGTTACGAGGGTGGAGATGACACAAATGCCTTAGAGGAAAATCGACAAAATTGTGGTAAAGCTGGGAGGAGAAAAGTGAGTTCACCTTGCAATGGTTGTCCAGAACTAGATGACCCGTGCTTTACTCCGGAGAAGAAACAGATTTGTCAACGTTATTTTGCCTGCAATACGGATAAGGGTTGTCCGTGTGATGAGGTTGAAGATGAGTGTGCCAGGGGTAAGATGGAAATTAGAAAAATTTGTATATAAATGGGAAGGTGTGTAATTAGTTGTTCTAATTGTATAGCTCCAAAATGTAAGGAACAAAAATGTCATCTGCAAAAATGCCAGGGAGCATCATCATGTGGTGTTCAGAAAAGGCCTCAAGAATCGATGGCCAATAAAGGGGGATGCCAGTCAACGGTGGGTGCGGATTGCTCCTGTGATGATTGTGCCAATGCATGTGAAGCAGGTGAGAAATCTTTTATATAGTTTTTTTATAATGGAGCGTACCCTTTTGATATTTTTGTCCACATTTGATCCTGACAGATAATTGTTTATAACTGAAGCCCGTTAGTTACGTCCATTTTTTTAAAGTTCAGCCAAAGTTGTTGCGAAAATGAATCATTAGAATTGTCAATTGTATGACGATTTCAAAAAAGAATAATAAATAAATAAAATTGTGGCGAAGCAACGGAAAGTAGAGGAAGCATGATAGCCTCATAGCTGCATGTATTTTTATGAACAAAGTTCGACTGTTGAAATTACGATAGAGCTTTGACATTCGACACATACATTGGTAACACTCGTAGAATGTTTGGTATTGAAAATGGGATATATCGGTCCACGTTTTGATATAGTGTTATACAACAACCCCCATATTCGGTCTTTTGGATACATTTTTCAACCGAATTAGATGTAATTTGGAATTTTCGAATCATATTGACTATTAAAATTGTATACTAGCCATACAAAGGTCAAGCGGCATTTTCGGCATATTCAAGATTGTAGTTAAATATTGCAGCCTGAGTGGTTGTTTCGTTTTCTCGTGCCAGCAGTTTGTCCTTGTCCTCATGAAAATAGTTCGAACCTACCGTACTTAATTTTGTTTTTCGTTATAAATTTATTTTGATTTCTTTTATCAAATATCTCATAGGTTGTAAAATATTAAAATTTTTTTTGCAATTACTAATTCCAATTTATTTCCTTTTTACAGCTAAAGCAAAAGCTTTAAGGAAATTGCGCTATTTATTAAAGAAATATAGCGGCGAAGTTTAGTAAAAAATATTTCGATAACTTTAAAATTTAGGACTAATAAAAAAAACAAAATTATCAGTTCAATATTCTTCACAAAATTCTTCCTACCATTCTGGGTTACAACAACAAACAAAAGGGTATGTTCCATGGAAATTTATTAAAAACAAAAACAATTTTCAAAACCAATTTATTTTCATTAATTGATGCCGCAAATGGAAGATCCATGCGACCCCTGCAACGTTTGCATGCAACCATGTTTTGTAACGCCACGAAAACCTGAACCAGGACCGGATGCTTATGATGAATTTGAGGCATGCCTCAATGGCAGTGGTTTGGTAATACGTGTCCTAAAGGATAGCCATTGTGTTGAGAGTGTATGTGATGGTACGGAAAACTTTCAAGACGATCATTCCAGTGAGGAGGGTTGTGAAAAGGTTAGGTGAAATTTTCTTATTATTTGTTTATTCATGTCTTAATTTTCTTATAGTCCAATCATGCCGATGGTTCATGCACAGTAGATAAGTTATTGGAACGCAGTTCCTTTGCTCGTAATCACATCAGACGTCGTACCGGTGGCCATATTATCAATCATCCCAAATTACCAAAAATACGTGCCAACATTAAGTACTCGGGCAATGATGCCTGTTGTCCGCCCGAGAGTTATCATGTACCCTATTCCAAAATTAAACAATTCTGTAATGACCAGGAGAATAAACTTGAAAGTTATCGCAGCCGTCGCAGTCGTTCACGTGGCGGTGGTGGTGGAGATTGTGGCCCAGTCTGTCCACCATTACATCCGAATGATAATAAACATTGCTGCATCCAAGTGGATCGTGATGATATCCGTAATGCCACGAAGGGTGTCGATTATGATATGCGTAAGAAGGGAATTGAGGTGAGGTTTGAAATAACAAATTTGGAAATTTTTTATAACATAAATTATTATGATGTGAGGGCATTAAAACTTTGTGTGGTCCCAAGAGTTTGTAAAGACATTGCATTTTGATGCTGGACGAACCTACATATCGTCTAGCATAATCGATCAAGTTACTTGTGTCCTTCCGTATGTTCATTATAATTTGTAATCAGTTAACGATTATTCATGGCCCAGAATCTTGAAATTTGACCGAAGGCGTCAGATAGGGCAGGGCTTTTGGAAATTCGTATCCGAATGATAATAAACATTGCTGCATCCAAGTGGATCGCGATGATATCCGTAATGCCATGAAGGGTGTCGATTATGATATGCGTAAGAAAGGAATTGAGGTGAGGTTTGAAATAACAAATTTGGAATTTTTTTATAGCCTAAACAACTATGGGTGAAGACATTAAAACTTTGTGTGGCCCCAAGAGTTTGTGAAACCATTTCATTTTGATGCTGGACGAACCTACATATCGTCTATGTAATTACAAAATATGCTACAAGGGCGAATCGGTAAAGCTATTTGGCGAATCAGTAAATTTGGAATGAGGGTCACTGATAAAATGTGGAATAGATGTACCAAAGTTTTTTTTCTGGAAATTCGAACTAAAAGTACTAAATTTGGTACAGTTTTGCGTATGTGAACGGATGAAGATTGTTAAGAAGTAGGGTCGATATAAGGAGGTGTTTTCGGAAGTGTTTACTCATGTATATGAAAAGTACTGAACAGTACTAAATTTGGTACAATTTAATTTTTGGAAAGACTAATGGAACTGGTATCCGGAAATTTGAAATTAATATTACTGTCGGGGTGTAGATTTGGGGTATGAAGGAAGTTTTAGAAATTCGTACTTATGTGTACTAAATGGTGCTAAATTTAATACAATTTAGATTTGGGTGAATCGATAGTGCTGGAATCCTAAAAATGATTTCTGTTGGATCGCTGAAGTACGAATAAATGGAAATTTATATTAATGTGTACTAAGTGGTATCAAATTTGATACAATTTGGATTTAAGTGTATCAATAGAGTTGGCATTGAAATTACTGTTGTAGTGCAGGATTGGGGTATGGATGTAGTTTTGGAATTTTGTACTTATGTGTACTAATTGGTACTTAATTTGGTAAATTTTGTATGAATCGATCGGGTTGGAATCCTTATATTTGGAATTATGATTACTGTTGGAGTGTAAGATTGTGGAATGTAGGAAATTTGTACTTAGTTTGGTAGAATTTGGATTTGGATGAAACTATCGGGTTGGAATACTGAAATTGGGGATTTCTGTTGGATTGTTGAGGAGGGTACACATGGAAATTTATAGTAATGTGTACTAAATGATACTAAATTTTGGAAAATTTGAATTAGGGTAAATATATATTAATTAGGGTGAATATAGGATTGGAAAATAAGTACTACTAGAGTACAAAAGATAATATATGGTACCAAATTTAGTATAGAACTATAATTGTGTTGCGGTCAGATCTGGAATAATATACTATATGACCACAAAGGTACGAAATGGTACTTAAATTTTAATTATGATCGATATTGGTAGGTTGATTAGCTATTCTGACATATCCAGTTTTTATGAAAACATTTGTTAAGACATGTTTAAATATTTCTCACATTCGTTAACGTAGTAGCGGACATAATCCAACACACACACACATCTAAAGCCCATCATACCTCATAAATATAATCACCTACATTTCAAACTAATAATGCTGGTTCATTTCAATCTTCGTCAAATCTGTAAAGAGAAGCGTAACATTTATGATTTATAATTGACATCAGATTCATTTTTTAAAAGTTTTAATGATTTATGAGAGGCTTAATAAGCCTGACATCAAGATGTTAGTCTGAAAAGTGAATGCATTTATCGAAACACCTACCATTGATTTTTTTCTTATTTCATTTTTTATTAAAAAAAAACAAAATACTAAAATAGGTTTGCTACAAGACCTGCGATGAAACTGACACAGATGTCTTTTTGGTAAAGTTGGGCAGCAAACAAAAATGCCAACACAAAAAGAATAATATCGAAATTGAATTGAAGACACCGAAACAGCCGATTGTGTTGCCAAGTCGTCGCGTAACCACCGAGACACAAATCGATGAGGTGGAATTGGATGCAGCCTTGTTGGGTGTCTGCAAGGGTAAGAAAAAGGGCAAGAAAGGCAAGAGCAAGAAATAATGGAAATGCAAATAATAATATCTTATTTAATCAAATTTACATGTAAAATGGATGGTGAAATAAAATAATAACTTCTATTTATCAACACTTTTAAAAAAATTAGACTTTGACAATAAATTCCTTATAATTTTTTAAAATATTTTACTTTCATTAATAAAATTATAAATGAAGTATAACATATTTCATAAGACAGGTGTACAACTTGTGTTAGTAGCTATACCTCCAACTAACCTTAGCATGAAAAATCAATTTTATACAGATACCATACCCAATGGCCCAATGATGTGGCGTAGCATCGAAGGTCAATACAAAAAGAATAAAGAAGACGTCCAGTTGCATGTCTTGCTTTTGTAGAATGTTGCAAAACGTTTTCATAACATTTAGATTAATGGCTTTGCTACTTGCTGTGGCCACAAAAGCAATGCCAAAAACTGAAGAAGTACTTCACCGATAAAAGAATGTTGCCACAATGACTGGTTGCTTGTGATGTGTGTTTTCGACAATTCAAATATTATTGTTGTTGTAAAATTATTGCCAAAGGAAGTGTGGAATTCCAATAATAACTGATGCCGGCATGCTTGAATTGAGCAGAAGTTCAAAGATGCATGATGCCCTCCCACCGAATGGTGTTAAGATGCAGTGGAAGAAAAAATTGAGAATTTTTTTTGTAAATATTTTTAAAAACTTTAAACAAAGGAACGAACTAAAAAAAAATTAAAGAAATAAAAAATATTTTTCCATACTCTAATTAAACGTGCATTTTTTAAAATATGTTTTCATTCTCTAATCAAAGGCGTGGATTTAGAAATTTGGATTTTTTATTTTTTTTTTCAAAATCAACATCTTAAAAATATTTTTTCTTATTTTGAAAATACTTTTTCATGTTTAATCAAAGACGTAGATTTAAAGAATTTGGATTTTTTTTAAATTTTTTTTCAAAATCTAAAAGGGCGTGGATTCTTACAAAAGCAAACAAGTTTTTTATACCCTTCACCACACTGTGGTACAGGGTATTGTGAGATACACACATGGTTCCTTTTGAGAATATGAATAGAATCACTTTCTAAGTCGATTTATGCATGTCCGTCCGTCCGTCCGTCTGTCTGTCCATGTTAAAATGTAAGCAAAGTACAGGTCGCATTTATGATTCGAATTGGATGAAATTTGGAACAGCTCTTTTATTTGGCCCAAGGACGAACCCTATTGAAATTGGGAAAAATCGGTTCAGATTTAGATATATTTCCCATAGACACATGGTAGATAGACACATGTTTCATTTTGAGAATATGCATAGAATCACTTTCAAAGTCGATTTATGCATGTCCGTCCGTCTTTCTGTCTGTTCCTTTTAAAATGTAAACAAAGTACGGGTCGTATTTATGATTCGAAATAGATGAAATTTGGCACAGCTCATTTATTTGGCCTAAGGACGAACCCTATTGAAATTGGAAAAAATCGGTTCAGATTTGGATATAGCTCCCATATATATTTTCGTCCGATTTAAAGTGAATGGTGCACTAAAGTCCCTAAATACCTTTCGATTTGCACGAAATTTGGCACAGTGTAATGTATTAGGTCTAGAATGATGTGTGTTAAGTTTCCTGAAAATCTGTTCAGATTTAGATATAGCTCTCATATATATTTTCGTCCGATTTAATGTAAATGGTCCACCAAATTCCCTATATATCTATCGATTTGCACGAAATTTGGCACAGCGTAATGAATTAGGTTTAGAATGATGTGTGTTAAGTTTCCTGAAAGTCGGTCCAGATTTAAACATAGCTGTCATATATATTTTCGTCCGATTTAAAGTAAATGGTCCACCAAAGTCCCTATACATCTTTCGATTTGCACGAAATTTGGCACAGCGTAATGAATTAGGTCTAGAATGATGTGTGTTAAGTTTCCTGAAAATCGGTTCAGATTTAGATATAGCTCTCATATATATTTTCGTCCGATTTAATGTAAATGGTCCACCAAATTCCTTATATATCTATCGATTTGCACGAAATTTGGCACAGCGTAATGAATTAGGTTTAGAATGATGTGTGTTAAGTTTCCTGAAAATCGGTCCAGATTTAAATATAGCTGTCATATATATTTTCGTCCGATTTAAAGTAAATGGTCCACCAAAGTCCCTATAAATCTTTCGATTTGCACGAAATTTGGCACAGCGTAATGAATTAGGTCTAGAATGATGTGTGTTAAGTTTCGTGAAAATCGGTTCAGATTTAGATATAGCTCCCATACACATTTTCGTCCGATTTAAGGTAAATGGTGCACCAAAGTCCCTAAACATCTTTCGATTTGCACGAAATTTGGCACAGCGTAATGAATTGGGTCTAGAATGATGTGTGTTAAGTTTCCTGAAAATCGGTTCAGATTTGGATATAGCTCCCATATATATTTTCGTCCGATTTAATGTAAATGGTGTACCAAAGTCAATTAATATCTTTCGGTATGCACGAAATTTGGCACAGCGTAATGAATTAGGTGTAGAATGATGTGTGTTAAGTTTTCTGAAAATCGGTTCAGATTTAGATATAGCTTCTATATCTGACCAAATGAAAAATTTAGTATCGGTTGCAGAATGACATGTTTATGGATCCAATTTCATTTTACTGGTCATTTAAAAATGCGACGTCTGTTAGGATTCATCTGTTGAATATACCCAAAGCGGTGAAGGGTATCATATAGTCGGCACCGTCGGACTTTACTACATTCATTGCTGGTTTTTATTTGAATTTTAAATGGGATGGGATTGATGACAATAGGTATACAGTCATCAACGACTGTACAAACAACAGGGTAAGTGAATCTGTCGTTAATGAAAAGTAAGGAGTTTAGTCGCCCAAGTTGTCGTGCATGAATACTGCGACAGTTGTGTGAAAATTTCGTCAACGATTTCACCGTGTTGTCTGTAAAGTGTCTTCAAGGAATTGCTATTGCTTTACACGATTCGTTAATGATTAAAAAAAAACAATTTTTTCCAGCTACATATTAGGCGGGGATTAAAATAGGCGTGGATTTAACAAACAATATTTTTTTAAGCTAGATAATGGATTGATGAAAAAATATTTGAAGGTAAATAATAGGCATAAATTTATAAAAATTTTGAAAGAAAATATTTGTTGAAACTACATAATAGCTAGATGGACTAAAAATAAATTTTTTCAAGCTGGATAATAGGCAAGGATTTAATTTTTTGTTTATATTCGGCCTTTTTTAAAATTTTTTTAACCATTTGTATTTTTGTAGTGTACTTGAGTAAAGTGCATATATTCTTGCAATTTGAAATATTGCAATTATCTTGACCATTCGGTTCCAGTTCGATGAGTTTTACAGGCATTTAACAAGCCAAACACACACGTGTACATACACACACTCATACATACCATTGCTCATATTTGCACATTTTGAGAGTTGAATATCGTGTGTTCATTTTCGAAACTAAAACAAACACTCGTTTGTAGAATATTCCGTGTGGATGGATGACTCTAGAATTGGCCAATAACCATGAAAATATGTGTTGGCCATAATGCTGGAAATGCGAAGAAGGGAAAATGATTATGATAATGGAGGTGGTGGTGGTGGTGTTCTGTGTGTATGTAACTGTCAGCCAGTTGATGTCGGCAAATATTTAATGATATATGATATTATATAGCATCTGTAATCGTTGTAGGGCAGTTAAACAGACAAATACGATTGTTATGTATATAGCGATTGAGCTTTTGTGCAGTGATGCGTAAAAATACAAAATAAAAAACATAAATATTTGAAAATCGAATGGAATAAAATGGAATGCATTTTTAACAAAATGAACACAGAGTTATATATATATTGAGTATGTGCCTTTTTATCTAACTTTCTAACGTCAAGTTGTCCCTATTATCTCCGCTTTGCAAGATTTGTTTTATCTAAAAGTAGTTCACTACTGGACGCCCACAAAACCATATAATTGGCAATTTATCTATGAAAAAAATGCTTAATTCAATTTTTGAAGTTATCAATGAAAATAAGTGAAAGAAATTGAATGGTGCCTTTGGGGTACGGATTACCACCAACGCGTGGCTTTTTTTGTTATATTTTTTGTTTGTGTATTGCTCACATTGTAAACGATCTTTTTTTGATTATACCATTCAAAAAACGTGCATATATTACCTCTCTCTCTCCCTGCTTCTAAAGGTATTTTAATGAAATGCAAGAAAATTAAAAATAGATAAAACTAGATTTCCAAATAACGAAGACAGTGAAGCCATATAGGTTTGTGATGCCTCACAACTAACAAAAAATAATTTGTTTTTTTAAAAAAAACTTCTGTTTGATAGATTAAAAGATGTATATAGTGGAGCTTGAAAAAAGTATTTAAAAAATGCTATTTATACCCTTCACCACTCTGTGGTACAGGGTATTATGTCTTTGTGCATATGTTTGTAACACATGGTTCCTTTTGAGAATCACTTTCTGAGTCGATTTATGCATGTCCGCTTGTCCGTCTATAGATGTTAAATTGTAAACAAATTACAGGTCGCATTTATGAACCGATTTGAATGAAATTTGGCATAGCTCACTTGGCCCAAGGACGAACCCTATTGAAATTGGGAAAAATCGGTTGAGATTTAGATATAGCTCTCGTATATAGTTTCTTTCGATTTGCATAAAATTTGGCATAGAGTTCTGAATTAGGTCCAGAATGATGTGTACTAAGTTTCGTGAAAATAGGTTCAGATTTAGATATAGCTCCTTATGTTCTACATTTATCTCGATATCCTCCTCAGCTGAAATGATTACGACAGACTCTTAGAACCAAACCCAAAACGCGGAACAAATTAGATAACTATTTTAATATAAACCAGTAAGGAAAGTAGTAAAGTCGGACGGGGTCGACTATATGATACCCTTTACCACTTTGGATATATTCCACAGATGAATCCTAACAGACGTCGAATGACCATTAACACGAAAATGGATCCATAAAACATGTCATTCTGCAACCTATACTAAA